CGCTTTGGGCTTCCTGACAGGGTTGCGGAAGGCGCTTTATAAATAAAGCTTTGATTTGATTGATTTGATTTGATTAAAGGTTGTTCATCTAAAAAATAGACCTTTAAGAGTTTGAAGATTTTTTTTTTGTTTTAATAAGTTCATCTTAAAACATCTTTCTCAAGTAAAATAATGTTTCCTCTGTGAGGTCAGATAGGCCCATCTGTGGTGTTTTGAAACAGAAATAAACAAATGAATCATATTTGTCCACCCAAATACTTAAATATCACAAAAACAGGAAGGACAAAAACACCGTCAAGGCAAAGTAAGAATTTTTTTTTAAATAAGCGGTTGTTTGTGATTAATCATGTTTTAACTGTGGGCATGATTTATATCATTATTAAATATCCCATGTGGCCTATAGGCTATGTAACTGAGATTTAATATGAAAAATTAGACAAACCTATTTTCAAATTAGGTATTTGCTCTATGTTGATATATATTTCATAAACATTTATGGGCCAAGAGGAACATAGGCAGCTGATGGTATAATTTGAAGAAAAATGTCCATTATGCTAACCTCCTCCCTTCATATTCAGAATTTTCTAGTTGTGTATAAAATGTGTATATTGTGCCTCTCTAGTTCTTAATAAAGGTTAAATAGTTTTGAATTTAGTCATGTCACATGCCAGTGATTGTGTTGCTTTTTCTGTGTGTGTGTGTAGGGGGGGGGGGGGGGGGCACCACAAAGACTTTGTGCTTAGGACACCAAAATAGCTAGCAACGGCCCTGTTTGTAGATACTCTTTACAGATTGATATTTGTGTGCTAAAAAAACCATAAACTTAAATAATTTGTCATTCTTTACTGAAAAACAATAAAATACAGGTATACAGAAAGTGTGGGAAAATTGATAATGTGAAAGTATTGCTCTTTAAATGTAATACTATTTATCTTTAAAAAGAAAAACTCTAAAAATGTCCTGTACAGCAACATGACAGAAGAAAGGTGGTATGTCTGTCAGAATGTGCTGAACAGATTTGCACTATCAAGAGGAGCGTTTTGTGTAAGAGTTTATGTTATTGTAATATTGGTTTGGGTTATGTATCTGTGACACGATCCAGGTGGAATGGAAGGTGCCACTAATATTAAAAGGATTAAAATAGGTTCTAAAAAAACAAGGCAGTGCGACAGCCAAAGCAAATTAAAAAGGTACATTTATTACAAAACCCTGATGATGATGCCAAGGAAAAAAAGCATTTAATCGAGTGTGCGCAGGGCCCCAAGGGACAAGGCGGTCCAGTCCGGCCCCGCTGAGCTCTCGACCAAGGAATCTCCAAGGCCGTCGTCGTCGTCGTCGTCTGGGAACCACAGGATCGCCGCACGGTGGATCCAATCCTCCTCGGCCCGGTCCCTGTGGCACACAACAACTCCGGCAGTAAATAGGTCCCCGGCACCAGACCACTCACAGAGAGAGAGCAACTCTAACACTGCCAGGCACTGATCAGTTACTTACGCGCGGGAGCAGAGTAACTCTGCCCGCCTGCCGTGTTGCGCTCTGTGCCCTGGCGTCTCCGGCCGCGGATCTCTCTCCGCTGTTGCTGCTGCTTCTCCAGCCATCTTCTTCGCCATCACCTGCTGGGCACTCCTGCTCCTCCACCCCGCCATCACCTGCTGGGCACGGCTACTCCTACTCCCCGCCTTCATCTGCTGGAGACTGCTGGTCCTCCACACCGCCATCAGCTGCCTGTGGCGCGCCGCTGACGACCAGCCCAGGCCCAGGTCTCACCTCTCCCTGCCCGCCCTGGATCCACCTCCACCCACCCAGGCTTAAGCTTCCCCCTGCCTGCTGCACGTCCAGCCGGCCTCTGCCCTGTCCCCTCTCTCACCTGCATCACACCCAGGCTCATCAGGCTCCCCCATGCCCGCAGCCTTCTCCCACCCACACAGCCTCTCCAACGTCATCCACACCTCCAGGTAACCCACCCTCAGCATCAGCCCCCCCCACCCCCACCCCAACACGCTCACCCTCACCTGGCTGCCACCTGGGACAGACATGTCATGAAATGAGAGATGCACAGACCTTGTCAAAACTAACCTAAACATGTTTGGCCTATACCTTAGAAATCTGGCTAAATGATGAGCCAGACTTTCTGGAAGATGTATTGCCGTCATGGTCCCTGTGTCACCTGACACAGAGCAGCTGGGAGCTCTAAACTGGGTTGCTATATAAAAAACAAAGAAGCAGCACATTTATAAATGTTTAAAAGAGCATAAAATCATGTGTAACAATAATCTGCAAAACAAATTAAAACTACAAGGTGATAATAAAATGTTTACATAGAAGATTATTAAAAATAATTCACCTTTGCTACGGGTAAGACTTCACGTCAGCCTGGACAAGTGCAATCTTGCAGCTAAACCAGTCTGACAGCCATGTCTTGGGTACATTCAGCCTGAAAAAAAAAATAGAAGCACATTTTTGTTGGAGTTTGTAAAGTCAGATAATATACAAAAGAAACTGTCAGATATAGGCGCTTTATAACATTCCTAGTGTGTGGTCGTTATTATAATGTAAAAGTCAGTCACATAAGATGTGGAGAGCCTGAAATGCGACCTCCTGAATAGAATTCCTTACAGAACCGGGTCACGCTGTGCTGGATTTCACGCTCTAATGATGTCTGTCAACTAGTGCTTCGTTAGTTAGAGTCACTGTTGCAGAATTACCGACCGACACAAAAACAACCCGAATTTTCTCCGAGCCTGACAGTAATAGTCATATGGACCGTTTCGTTGGCCAGGGCTTCGAGATATGTTCCGAATCGCTGCTGATTCTAAACTTACATCCCGTTCCACATTTTGTGAACTTGACAAATTAGCCCGAAGGAAGTGCAGACCTAAGTAAACCACGTCTCTCAAACTTTGCATTTAGGTAAGGAATTGAGCTGCAGTATGTCTGCGATCAGGTCTCTCTACGAGTCCGAGAGCTCCACGAGCGGTCAGCTCTGTCCGAGAGCTCCACGAGTGGTCAGCCCCGTCCGAGAGCTCCACGAGCGGTCAGCTCTGTCCGAGAGCTCCACGAGCGGTCAGCCCCGTCCGAGAGCTCAACGAGCGGTCAGCCCCGTGCGAGAGCTCCACGAGCGGTCAGCCTGCGCAGCAGCTAGTAGGCGCCGCATCGGTCAGACATGCACCGGGCTGACCGCTGGGGAGAACCGGGTGGAAGAATGGAGCACAGAAGTGTCCCTCCAAGAGCTCCATCATATTTCAACCCATTTTTATGTTAAATGCACTGGGTTTTACCCTTGTACCCATCGACATATGCCCTATTAATTATTTTACCATATTTTACATCTAAATTTCATGGTTAAACAGTACATGCTACATGTTAAAATGATAGTTAGCTAGCTACTTCGATAAACTCAGCTAGTTTAAAGGCGGCAGTGACCTAAAATACATACATTTAATTTAACTTACCGAAAAAAATGAAGTGGAGACTCCTTGGACGCTCTATTAGTGCAAGTAATACCACAGCAAGTCATTTTGTCCAACAATTGCACCAATAATATCCAAAACAGAATACACAATCACAGAGACTCAAAATCCCGAAACAGTTTCCAGGAGAGACAGAGGCTCTACTGAGGCCTTTCCACGGAGCTAGCTCTGTGGTCACGTGGGTCTCAGGCGGCGGTCACGTGTGTTGGATGCTCATTAATTATACAGAATTTTAGGCTTTCAATACACTTAAACAGAAGAGTGAGAAAAAAATTCACCCCCCTCAGAGTTGTCATGAGTGTAAACTAGATAATTTAAACAAAAAACATGTTTTGGAACCAGGCTGTAAACATGTTTATTTCTGCTGTGAAATTGGCATTTTTAACATGGGAGTCAATGAGGATTTGCTCGCTTCTGATACCAGCCCCCAGCGGATGAGGGTGGAACTGCAATTTCTCTTACTTCCGGGATGGGACCATTTTTAGAGCCGCATTGTGGGGGCTTGGTAGCTGCAGACTCCATCCTCCGCCTTGAGGATGTTCCATTTGGTGACACTGGAGCAGTCCTTTTGTGCGATATCTTGTTGAGCAAACCTCGTCCTCTGGTCCCTGTCTCATGGAGACACAGAGTCTTTGATTCCATTCGCTCTTTGTCGCATCCCAGAGTTAACGCCTCAATCAAGTTGGTGGGTGACAAGTTTGTTTGGCCGGGCCTGCACAAAGATGTCAGAACCTGGGCAGCCTCCTGTTTAGCATGTCAACGAGCCAAAGTTCAGAGACACCCACCTTTTTACCATGGTGGACCGTACCATCCATTGGCCAGAAGTCGAACCTCTAAGTTCCACTACTGTGGCAGATGTCGCGCGCGCCTTCATCTCGACTTGGGTGTCTCGTTTCGGGGTACCCCTTGACATCACCTCAAACAGGGCCCCCCAGTTCACTTCAGAACTGTGGACGGAGGTTGCTAACAACTTAGGGGTCACAATTCACCGCACTGCAGCTTACCACCCACCGGCCAATGGTCTTGCGAGAGATTTCATTGTACAATGAAGGCAGCCCTTAAAGCCTCTCTCGTTGGAGCAAACTGGTTGGACCGGTTGCCGTGGGTCCTTTTGGGCGTACAATCTGCTCCGAAGGAAGACCTAAAGACCTGCTGAACTTGTTTTGGCCCAGCCCCTTACGGTCCCTGGTGAGTTCACAGCGGAAGGGTTTGATTCCTGTGCGGTGGCACCCAAGTTTCCCAATGCTGTTCGATTGGCAGTTTTTTTTCGTCCCGGTCGCAGTACACACTGTATTCTGCACGTATACATTCCTGAAGACCTTATGACAGCTGAGTACGTGTTCGTCCGCCATGACTCTCGTCGTTCCCCTTTGCAGCCGCCTTACGACGGCCAGTTTCGGGTCTGTGAAGTGGGCCCCGAGTACTTTCTCATTGAGTCGGCCGGCAGTCGGGAGAAGGTTTCAATGGACCTTTTGAAGTAAGCCCATTTCTTGCCCGACGTGCCTGTAGATTTGGCTGTACCACCTCGTCATGGTCGGCCGCCAAACCCCCTTCCTACTGGCCTGGTCACTCACCCACAGAGGGTTTGACAGTCCAAGATGGACTCTGTCCATCAAACTAAGACCAGTAGAGGTGGTTGCCCCATTAAATTGCCCCTTCGTTATGGCTGATATTTGCTTCACTTTTATTAAATCGGTTTTCTGTGTTTTACTGCCCTTCTGTGTTCTGGGGTGGGGGTGGGGGGTGGGGGGGTGGGTGGGTGGGGGGGGGGGGGGGGTCTGTGCGGTGTTTGGTTGATGTGTTAATCTCACACGAGAAGGGTATATTCTACTACCAAAGAAAACGGAAGTACATGCTTTTATTGTGAATATGAGTGTTGAAGATGAGTTGTCATGGTGATTCAGGAGTTAGGAGTTGAGTGGAGAATAAAGTGCTGTTTTTTGGTAACGAATGCCTCCTCTGATCCTTCAGCCATCTGCCAACTCGTACAACCAATCATTATGTAATCATTCAAGAATCAGCTTATAAATCCACCATGAAGTGGTTGTGAAGCTTAGGTAACCATTAAATCCTGATTCATTTACCATTAGTTCCTCATGAGGTGAGCCAATTTTGGGATCATTATTGTAAAGTGTTACCAAGACATTTGATAGGTTTTGGAATTATTTGTTCATTTATGATAAAATAGCTGAATACTGTGAAAAGCTGACATTGCTGCTGAGGCTATGGGCAGAGCACAGCGTCAGGGACTGAACAAGAACAGGTTAGCTGTTCCTGTGTTCTCACAAAGTTATGTTACTGATCCATTTAAAATATTCACACAAAATAGATTTGTATTTCATTATCTGACTAGTTAAAAAAATGCTTTGTTTAATTTTCAGAATGTCACTATTTTCCTTGAACTTTTTAATTATTTTTAAAACATTTTTTAATAACATTGATGATAAAGAGAAATCAACTTTTGAATGCAATATATGTTAATATAGTAACATAGCATTTTAAACATAAGCTTATTCACATATGGAAAGTATCGATGTGAATTAATCGTACTTTCATTGTGTAAAAGTAGCTCACACGCCAAAAAAGGTTGGAGATCCCTAAAATATATAAATAACTTTTGAGATTTTAACTTTTTTGTTGTTTCAAGTAAGGGAGGATGGTGTCCTAAAGCCCCCTACGGACAGGCCTCTACTAGTCCATGGAGACTCCTAACATCATATGATGTTAGCCTGTTTTTGTTGCCTAGATGTTTTTGGCCACAAGGGAAGAGTAATGTTAGTGCTCAGATCAAATTAGAATTGTGTAACGAAAATAAAGTATAAATTATCTGTGTGACAGGGTTCTACTCAGACAGCAGTATCCATCTGATGATGGAGATTCAGATTGGAGCTGAGTTCTGTTTTCCACAACTCAACAGGTCCTGCAGGAGGCCAACACCTCACTGGTCTGAAGCTGTCCTCCTGAACATCGTGTTGTCCTTCTTCTCTCTGATCACAGCAGTTCTAAACCTCCTCATCATAATCTCAGTCTCCTATTTCAGGCAGATATTAAAAAGAAAAACATCACATTTATCAATATTGTTTATCTGATCAGAGTGTGATTCTAGGCTGCATAAGTTATTTTAACCTCACTGACTGACTTTGTTTCTTTGTAGGAAGCTCCAGAAACCTTCTAACATCCTCATCCTCTCTCTGGCTGTGTCAGATTTCTTTGTTGGCTTTTTAATCATTCCATTTGAACTCTTTAGAAAGACAAAATGCTGGATTCTCGGTAATATCACATGTTTATTTTACTATTATGTTGCCATGTTGTCTGTCGGTGCTTCAACTGGGACCATTGTTCTCATATCAGCTGATCGCTATGTGGCTATTTGTTACCCTCTGCATTATCCCACCAGAATAACCTTACCTAGAATTAAACGCTGTGTTTGTCTCTGTTGGACCTGTGCTGCTTTCTATGTAACTTGCTTGTTAAAAGATGAGCTGATTCAGCCAGGCAGGAGTAATTCCTGCATTGGAGAATGTACAGTATCTTTTGACTATTTTGTAGGAACTTTTGATCTGTTTATAACCTTTTTATTTCCAGTTACAGTCATCATAGTTCTGTATATGAGAGTATTTGTGGTGGCTGTGACTCAGGCTCGTGCCATGTACTCTCACAATAGAAGTGTCACCCTTCAGCTTTCAGTGCAACAACAAACAAAGAAATCAGAGCTAAAAGCAGCCAGAACACTGGGTGTTCTTGTTGTTGCATATCTGATGTGTTTCTGTCCATATTACTGCTGCTTTTATTTTATAGATAGTTTTACAACTACAACATTTGTTTCATTCTTGTTCCTTCTCATGTTTCTTAACTCCTGTCTAAACCCTCTGATCTATGCCATGTTTTATCCCTGGTTCAGAAAAGCTGTTAAACATATTGTAACTTTACAGATCCTGAAGCCTGGCTCCTGTGAGGCCAACATACTGTAGATACTGTGGACTGAGGGACGTACAACCTCCTGAACAGTTTACAATTCTAAAATCTAAAGTCCAGTGAAGGAGAAAATAGTTTTCTTCATTTCCCACATTATCAACATAAATGTATGTAGAGAGCAGGGCCGGTCCTAGGCTGGCATATTTGAGGGGGCAGACAGAATTGTGACGGTGGAAGATTGTGTTGATGGAAGAGGAAAAGGTGTGCTGGTGGTGGAGGTATTCCAGGATCTTTTAGTCATGTGATTGGATTGCATTTTGTTACACTTTGATCTTCCCATTTTTTAAACCTGCAGATAAAGGGGGTAAAATTGTCATACAAAATATGGATGACTACAAAAAAGAAGCCTATTGTCAACTGAATGATCCATGTTTCTATAAGAAACTAAGATCCAATCCCACTCAACATGTCCAGCAAAAAATCCTTGAATACATACAAAAGGCTCTTTAAGATGTTGGATTTCTCAGATTTTTTGAATTGTAAATATCCTGTCACTCCAGTTTTCTACATGTTACCTAAAATCCATAAAAGTTTAGTTAATCCTAAGGGTAGACCTATTGTAGCCAGTAATATTCTCTTCTACAACCCCTATCAGACTTTGTTGATCATTTCATTAAATCATATGTACAAAATCTTCCATCTTATATTAAATATTTTTTCAGATTTTATCAATAAAATCTCAGAAATTCAGTATATTCAAAAATATACTGCATTGGTCACCCTTGATGTAGAAAGCCTCTATACCAATATTTCCCATGACAGAGGCCTAGATGCTCTAGGTTTCTACCTACTGAACCGTACACACTTACCTTGCAAAGAATTATCATTCAAATGGCATCAATGGTATTGAGATCAAAATCTTCTCCTTCATTGGGGACTTTTACTTACAATTAAAGGGAACATCTATGGCTTCCATCTTTAACCCAGACTATGCCAACCTATGTATGGTTTTTTTAGAGACTTTTGTCTTCAATCCAGTAATAAATATATTCCACCATAAAATTCTTAAATGGTTTAGATATTTGGATGATATATTTTGTCTTTTTCAAGGGAATAATGACAAAGTTAACAACACCCTCTGATCTATGCCATGTTTTATCCCTGGTTCAGAAAAGCTGTTAAACATATTGTAACTTTAGAGATCCTGAAGCCCGGCTCCTGTGAGGCCAACATACTGTAGATACTGTGGACTGAGGGACGTACAACCTCCTGAACAGTTTACAATTCTAAAATCTAAAGTCCAGTGAAGGAGAAAATAGTTTTCTTCATTTCCCACATTATCAACATAAATGTATGTAGAGAGCAGGGCCGGTCCTAGGCTGGCATATTTGAGGGGGCAGACAGAATTGTGACGGTGGAAGATTGTGTTGATGGAAGAGGAAAAGGTGTGCTGGTGGTGGAGGTATTCCAGGATCTTTTAGTCATGTGATTGGATTGCATTTTGTTACACTTTGATCTTCCCATTTTTTAAACCTGCAGATAAAGGGGGTAAAATTGTCATACAAAATATGGATGACTACAAAAAAGAAGCCTATTGTCAACTGAATGATCCATGTTTCTATAAGAAACTAAGATCCAATCCCACTCAACATGTCCAGCAAAAAATCCTTGAATACATACAAAAGGCTCTTTAAGATGTTGGATTTCTCAGATTTTTTGAATTGTAAATATCCTGTCACTCCAGTTTTCTACATGTTACCTAAAATCCATAAAAGTTTAGTTAATCCTAAGGGTAGACCTATTGTAGCCAGTAATATTCTCTTCTACAACCCCTATCAGACTTTGTTGATCATTTCATTAAATCATATGTACAAAATCTTCCATCTTATATTAAATATTTTTTCAGATTTTATCAATAAAATCTCAGAAATTCAGTATATTCAAAAATATACTGCATTGGTCACCCTTGATGTAGAAAGCCTCTATACCAATATTTCCCATGACAGAGGCCTAGATGCTCTAGGTTTCTACCTACTGAACCGTACACACTTACCTTGCAAAGAATTATCATTCAAATGGCATCAATGGTATTGAGATCAAAATCTTCTCCTTCATTGGGGACTTTTACTTACAATTAAAGGGAACATCTATGGCTTCCATCTTTAACCCAGACTATGCCAACCTATGTATGGTTTTTTTAGAGACTTTTGTCTTCAATCCAGTAATAAATATATTCCACCATAAAATTCTTAAATGGTTTAGATATTTGGATGATATATTTTGTCTTTTTCAAGGGAATAATGACAAAGTTAACAACACCCTCTGATCTATGCCATGTTTTATCCCTGGTTCAGAAAAGCTGTTAAACATATTGTAACTTTAGAGATCCTGAAGCCCGGCTCCTGGTAGGCCAACATACTGTAGATACTGTGGACTGAGGGACGTACAACCTCCTGAACAATTTACAATTTCAAAATCTAAAGTCCAGTTGTTACAGTATGAGTGTCCTGTCAATGTATCCTGATTGATCATGCGCCCTAGCTACTTGGCCAAGGGGATGTCCCTTTGGTTCACTAGTTAATGCGTGTGACTGTCATCGAAAGTCTGAGTATCAAATCCCGCCCGGGCCCTTGTTTCTCCACCTTGCCACACAGTGAAGGAGAAAGTAGTTTTCTTCAGTCTCTACATTGTAAACATAAATATACGTATAGAGCAGGGCCGGTTCTAGGCTGGCATGTGTGAGGGGGCAGACAGAATTGTAAAAGGGGCAGATTGTGGTGATAGAAGAGGAAAAGGCGTATGTTGGTAGTGAAGGTACTGTGGGTGACTTAGTCATGTGACTGGATTGCATTTTGTTAGACTTTCACCTTCCCTTCCTTTCTCTGTCCCTGAAACCCGTATTCATGTGTTCATCACATCATAACTAAACTACAGCAATAACATCTAGAGGTCAACCGATATGTTGAAAACACAAAAGCAACATCTAAAGGTGATTCATTCTTTGTTTAAGTCACTATTTCCTAACATCTTCACCTGAACTATAAATTAAACCTGATGAACGAGCCTGCAGCTGAAGCCTTGGGCCTGGTTTGAATGAACAGAACACTGCTGTTGACTTCACGAGACACTGACCTCTGTTCTCCTCAAAAGCAGGCACTCACTCACACACAAGAGCAGCTGGGACGTTGATGTTGTAAAAAGAATAGAAAAAAAATGTGATTTAATGAACTGCTGCTTAAGAAATGAGAACTGAAACTACAAATGTGGGTGGAGTTGTTATTGTTATGTGTTACTCACTTGTATTTAACCTTTGTAAATGTATAAACCTGTACCCACGTTGTCTTACCAACAGGAGATGTTCCTAAATGTGTTAAAGGTCGTGCATGATATTCAGGAAGCTGAGGTGGCAAGGGACAGGAAATACTTATAAGTGCAGGGGCAGCATCTGGAGTGAACTAGGAAAGATGAATGTATGAGGAATGTATGTTGATTGAAGCTTTTGGAGATGACTTGGAAGCTTCCAGAAAATGTAGGTACAAAAGAAATGACGGGACAAATATCACCGGCACTCTTAGCGGAGAGCCCATAGAGGGGCTCTTACTTAGAGAGACTGTAGATAAGGGTTAGATAACTTGCAGCTTATAAGAGGAGAGTTCTAGCCTGGTAAATTAGACTAAACAAATATATTATATAGTCTGGCAATGCTCCATTGATGGCTGTCAGTCATGGGGTGGGTTCTAACGTCTATCATACAATCTGCGCATGCTACTGGACAACGAACAACGTGACTTGCTCACCACAACAGATGACAGTAAATGAGGCAGTCTGCTGTTGAAGAAGGCAAAAATACATCCTTTTTCTAAATAAAGGACTTAAACACATCTATCTGCTCCTGATTCTAATGAAGCCCAAGTTCTAATAGTACAAAAATGATGTAAAAGCCATTTGAAATGAGCTGTCGCCATCTTGTTCCTCTACATCACATCATCCCGCCTAGGGTGACCAGATGTCCCACTTTATGTGGGAACGTCCCGCATTTTCATTACTTTTCACGTGTTCCGCAAATTGAGACTCATGTCCCGCGTTATTGACAGTTTCCCGTTTCGAGTTTCAATCTTATAGAAGACACTTTGGAGAAATCTGCCTGTTGCTGTCAATCAAATGGAGGTGGGACTTTAACGCAGATCCGGAGCGTGTGTGGAGCACGCCCGAATCACCAAAACAAGCGTGAGTGAGCACGGAGGAGAAAACGCTGTAAACTTGCAAATTAAACGTGTTCAGAGACACTCGACAGAGTCTTTGTTGTTTCTGAGTCATTTTTCATGTCTTGTCATGGAGTCTGATGTGAAGAGGTCAAAAGCAGGTTTTCCAGTAATTAGACAGGTCCATGATGAACACAATGGAGGCTTTACCACAGACAAGGTGCTGCGGATTCAGATACCTGCATACATGCTAAGCCCCTTAAAGCACAGTGAAGAAATAATGAGAATAAAAGGAAGCTTTGATCACTGATTCTCAGAAATTTGAGGCAAAAAGTAACTCAACAAACAAACAAACAAACATAAATAGATAAATAATGTTATGTATATGTAACAGTGATGGTAGGGCTAAAAGGCAGAATATACATTTCGTTTGTTTTTTCTCATTACATTGGAACTTCACGTTGTCCCACATTTGGCTAGTTGGGATCTAGTGACCCTAATCCCGCCCACCAGAGTGGATAAAGTGCTGTGACTGGACCACCATTGTGAATCAATCACAGCACTCTGTCTGAATCTCATATAGAGCTCCGGGACTTGACGTCACTTCTCCCGGCATGCAACTGTTCAAATCGAAACGGCGCCATTTAGCAGGTAGAAGCCTGCAGCTGGACTATTTGTTATTGTCAGAAAACTCAAATGGGAAATATGGTAGATTCCTGTTGTTCCCCAGGATGCAGAACAGACGCAGATGACATAAGGGATGAGCCATCTACAGGATTCCCCAAGATCCGGAGCACCGCAAACATTGGATCATTGTAATAAAACGCGCTAGTGGCCGGGATAAAATGAAACTGTGGGATCCCGAGAGTAAAGGTTTTCACTTATGCAGCGACCACTTCATATCAGGTACTTAAACCAATGTTTCCTCAACTGTGTATGGTATTTATTTTAAATGCTTTTATTACAATTCTTAGTGGGGTTCCTAAACTTATTTTGGCGTGGCTTTTTCTGTCTTATTACTCACAGTAACAAGTAAACGTCACGTAAAACGTTGCCTCATGATTTCTGCGTGCTGCTTTTTACGTGTTTTATGATCACAGCAATTAACCGGCTAAGCTGTATTTAATTTTTAAGCAATGGTTGATCAATTGTCAGATCACACATAAAAAGCACTTTGGATTGCTATTATCTGTCTCACCGAGACAGATCTCAGACAGATCCTGAGATGCTCCTGCCTGACATGTTTATTTTATTCACGGAAGAAAATCAAACTAGAGAATTCTCTTGGCGTTCA